AAGCAGCTCTGAGGTTTCCACTTTGGTGAAGTCACTCTGCTGATCCCCAGTTTTCGGCTAATGAGGGGTCATTTTTAGTACAGGAACAGGTTCCAGATGGTTGAATGGAGCTTACATAATGCTCAGGAGCCATTTCCAGCCTATTGCCCCTTTACACAACCACCAAATAACACTTTAATTTTGGCTTCTCCATCGACTCCAATTGATTTTGATGAAATGTTCTGAAGCAAAAAGTCTTCCTCATCCTGATTATAGACTCCAAACACAAGATCTCCCACAGCAGTTTATGTTGCTACCATGAAGCCAATAAAAAAAAAGATGTCACCTCTCTTAGATGGCCCTCACGATGATCTGACTATTCCATATATTAGGTTGGTGGCATCACCACTGGGCATTGCAATGGCTGTTGGAGTCAGGATGTTCTGGGAACCTTAGTTGGGATATCTCACCACTGGAGAATCCTGACAGGTATAAAAAAGCTGGCGGATGACTTATGTTGCCAGCAAGGTTGCGGTTGGCCTTTTAGTCGTTAGCTTTTCACTCATGGAGTATTAGATAACTCTATCATTAAAGGCATGGAGAGGAATTCAAAGACGATTAAGTCAACCTAAAAGCGGTTGTAAAACAAATCAATACTAAGAATCGGCCAACAGTAGAAGATCATCAGGTTAGGTTGATCTGGTGGGATGTTTTCTGGAATCTCATTTTCTGCTAAGGTGAAAGGTCAGGAGGCACGGTGAGGTCGGGCAGAATACACGACCTGTGGGACAGGTCTGACCACATATCTCCCCCTCAGGATCACAGGACATATGAGGCTGGACCTTTCCCACACGCCTGATATTCTCCAGAGGACCCAAAGGTGCCAGCTGAACCAAGAAAGAGTGGCCACATTTTAGTGCTGAAGCTCGGCTAGATTATGTGGGGCTATCGTGATCTTTTGGTATGTCATTGGTGGGCAAATCCTAGAAGCCAGGTAGCCATAGCTGCTATATTACTGCCAATACCTTCTCTTTGTATTACTGTGAGGGAAGTTCATGTTCTCTTGTACCTCCGTACAGCCCACTGATTGCTAGAATGGGTAGATTGCCTACTGAATTGTACATGAATGTGCCAACAACTGTAGTATGTTTGAGGAAAGCAAGAGGACTTTCTGTCTGAAGGCCAATTAGTGTAAAGTCCTAACTGAAAGCCTTTTGGAGTAACATTGGATTGCCAGAGATACGGTATGGTTCAGTAGATGCATGTTGTTCACTGTCAGGAATGGTAAACGGAGGAGTGTTGGGGGTTGGAGGAGATGTAGAACTGTTTAGCCAGGTTCTGCACCAGGCCTACAGATAAAACAATTCCAGTAGCAGTGGGTTGGAAACTAAATTCCATTGCTTTGGTGCCACTCTCTTGGCCAGGAGACACAAACACTCAGGCACTTAGCTGCAAGGGGTCCCAAAGTTCGTGTTTGTAGGCCTCGTTCACCAGAAGCAACCAGCCCAAAAAGCACCATGGTTGCAGACTACAAGGCTCATGGTCCAGATGGGTGACCCATTACCACCACCAGGCTGACTAACCTACCTTCACCAGGCCACCCCATGTCTGCTACCCAAGCCAGTTATAAAGTCTTTATTTCCCCCAGATATAGGCCTGTCTTCAATCCACAGGAATAATGAGACTCAGTCCACCTTCATCTTTATCTCCTCTTTACTATATGAGGTATGGCAACAAGACAGTCCACATTTTAACTGGTTCCGTCTTTCATGGCTAGACACATTCAGTTCTCATGCCCACTAAAGGGTTCCTTCCAAATAGAGTTTTCCAGATACAATGGCGAGACCCACACAAGGAAGAACAAGTGACATTTCAACTAAGGAGAACACCATGACCCCGGTAACCACATTTTCTCTGCTGAAGGTCCTACCTCTAGGAGAACATAACCTTGCTCTCACTATCCTGCTTCTCTGCGCCTTATCCACCTTTGACCCCGAGATGGAGCTCATCAGGCCTGCTTAGAAAGACAGTAGCAAGTAAACATGTCTCTACAGCAGCTACAGGCCCTGTTAGAGAGGCAGAGGATGGTTCAGGGGCCGACTTCCACACCTCAACAGCTGGTGTAGAATGCCTGGAGGATAATGTTGAAGCCTACCTTGGCATCTTTGAAAGAGCGAGAGAGCTGCTGTACATAAGTTACTCATGGAGCAGCGGGCTGATGTTCTAGTGACCTTTTGAACAGGGGAGCCAAAAAAGGCCTACTTAAACGTATATTCTCAGGATGCCAAGGAGTATCCTAAATTCAAAAAATAACTTCTAGCCAGGGTCAGGGATACCATGGCCATCTGAGTGCAATATGTGTTCACATGTGAATGACCCTGGGAAGCCCTAGAGGTCTCAGATGTATGATTTATTCCACCTTATAAACAAGTGGTTGCAACTAGAGGTGCCCAGTGCTGCTAAAACTGTGGAGTGAGAGGTCTGCAACCTTAAGACACAGCAGTCTCACAGAAGGATTAGTATTGGATGTGGCCCATATTCATGAGTTAGGTGGTCATTTAGGAGTAGCCAAAAACAAAGAAGAGGATTTAGCAGCGGTTTTTGTGGTCTGGTATTTTTTTTTACAAAGCAGTTAAAGAGCAAACCTTGTCTGAGTGTCAAATTATTGCTCCCCAATCGCATTTTCAAAGTCCACTGGTACCCTTGCCTATAAAAGAGGTCCCTTTTAAACCAGGGTTGCTATGGATGTGGTCAAGCCACTTCCAAAGTCCTTCAGGAACACCAGCACATACTGGCAGTTCTTGACATCCAAAAGCATTTAATCTCAGAAAAACGTCCTCTAAGGCTACAGTGAAATTGATGTTCCGCATGTTTTCCCGTACTTTTATTACTAACGTTTGACAGACCAAAGTACAAGGGTATTCTCAGGTTCCCCTAAATGCCAGGCAAAGGAAAAGGACAGCTTTTGCGACACCAGATGGGCTTCCATGGTGTCCCAGACTCATTCTAAAGAATGATAGACCACATTCTCAAGCCCCACAGAGTATGGTTCAACGTATCTAGATGTTGCCATTTTTAGTCTTGACTTGGATTCCCACCTACAGAAGGCCCAGGCAGTTCTAGATTCCATCTGAATGGCCAGGGTAGCAGCCAATCCAAAAAATGCACGATAGACCTGGAAGAAGTTCAGTATCTGGGCTACAGGATTGGGTGAGGGGATCTAAACGGACAAGACTGACACAATTAGAGTGTCCTAGAGTGTCCAAAACATCTTAGAGTCTTTCTAGGGATTGTAGCATACTACTGGGCGTTTAGACCTAACTCTCCTACTATAGCAGCTCCACTCACTGATCTCACCAAAGGAAGCAAATCCACCATGGTGGAATGATGGTGTTCATGATAAGAAGAGCCAGAGAGAGCTTTTCATGAGCTGAAGACAGTATTGTGTATGGGACCACCCTCACCTTCAATCATTAAGTTCGTATACAAACACATGCCTCTGATTGTTCTTAGCAATCTCGTCATAGGAAATGAATGGGGAGAAGAACATCCAATAGCATACCCCAAACCAAAAACTAACCCCTACAGACAGGAATTGTTCATTATTGAAAAGGGAGTGTAGGACCATAACGTCAGCCCTAGAGTCATTGAGGTATTACCTTTTAGACAGACCAGATTGATTACAGACCATTCTCCACTACAGTGGATATCTCAGAAAAAAAAGAACAAGGCAAGGTCACAAGATGGTTTCTTGCTCCACAATACTTTGATTTTTTTTTTATTGTAGAACATGGGCCAGGGTCCCAATAAGGGAATGCTGATGGACTTTCATGCATCCACTATAGGTTGGCATCCCTCAGGTCTGAGAAGAGGGGGAGAGAATATGAGGCTCTGGATTGCAGGATTGTGGATGCTGTGTATGTGTCACGTACACATGGTAAGGGGCTCCAGGGTTTATGGATAATATGGAGAAAACAAATGTTTTGTTTCTGATTTGTCCTGGGTTATGGAGTCCGGAGTCTTTGTAGAGCTCTGGGTGGGATAAAGCCTTCATTGCTAGGTCCATGGTAGTAAGTAAGGATCCACTGATACCAATTCTAGCATCGGTATCAGTGCCGATACTGAGTATTTGGGCGAGTACTCGTGCTCGCCCAAATGCTCTCAATGCCTATCCCGTCACCGGAACTTCTGGTATCAGGAAGCCAGGCGGCAAGTCATTACATGCCACCGGGATGTCGGCTCCATGCTTCCTCCTCACCAGGAAGCATGGAGTTGGCTTCCCTGGTAATTACTTGCCCCATCGGCTTCCTGATCCCGGCTTCATGCTCTCTCGTCACCAAGTGTAATGACTCACCGCCTGGCTTCCTGATTGGTCGGGAGGCTGGCCATTTAGGAAACCAGGCAGCGAGTCATTACCCAAAAAATATTGGTACTCGTACAAGATGCCAAAAAGCCTATATCGGTGCATCCATTGTAGTCAGACCTCATTATTAGTCTCAGCTGACCACTGGACTTTATATATGTGAGCCATTTGATGCTCAGGGCTGTTTCTCGCTCTGCTGTGGGATCCTGCTGCTGGGTGAAAAGGCTGAGCACTGACATAAAACTAAAAAGGTACAAGTGCTGCCTGTTTGTTTTCAGGAACCCTTTAGGGGGCACCATATTAGTCAGGAAATGATCTGAGTTTACTTAGTGGCTCAGACAAGCAGATGTGTTGCTTGTGTTATACTATGGACTTGCTTCACAAAGCCCTCGCCAATGATGCTGGTCGATTGCTGCCTTGCTGAAGTGCAGGACAGACCTACTTGGACTGTTCCCGGGTGTCTCTGTTCATGATTTTTCGCTGCCAACACCAGTTGGACCAGTCCCCTTACAATAGGCAGAGTCCCAGGAGGACACGGAGAGATACAGAAATTCAGCTACAATGTATAAAAGATGTTTCTTCATAATAAAGATACAAAGTGACAGAAAACAATCTTCAGTCTGGGAAGCATACAAAGTCATGTGACGTCTCTCTGTACCTGATTACACGTGTTTATATCCACTCCATTCCGCATGTGTTCCAGGGCTTTGTCCAGGTTTCCAGACCTGGCTGCTCGCAGGAAGCTGGTCGCTGCATCCGCCTAAAACCAGAAGAAGAAGAAGAGAGCAACATCAGCACCACTAAATGTGATCAGAATGTTCCACCGTCTGAGATGATCCCCAACAAAGGAAATATACAGCACACATCACAACATAACAAGACATCCATCATAAGCCGCCAACTCTGGAGAGCGCACAACAGAGAATGCTGGACCGGAGCTTAGAACAATGACAGAGATGGATGGATATAGATAGATAGATAGATAGATAGATAGATAGATAGATAAAGAGAGAGAGAGGAGAGAGAGAGATAGAGAGAGAGAGAGACGAGAGAGAGAGAGAGAGAGAGAGAGAGAGAGAGAGAGAGAGAGAGAG